GAACTGCAACAATATCCCAGCCTGGCGGGTTAAAATCTCGGATGTTGAGCAGCTCTTTATTGTGGGCAATAGGTGTGCTTTGCAAAATGGTGATAACAAAGACAAAATGGTGTCAGGGACATCTGTAAAAAAAAAAAGAAAAAAGAAGAAAAAAGAAATCACAAATGTTTCACAGGTAAGGTATGAGAATCAGGATTGCTTAGCAACAGCAGTACAAAAAAAAAAAAGACTCGCACATGTGTGGTAAGCAGAGAACCGGCCGTGCTGCCACCTAGCGGTGGCCTGACGGCACTTGCAGGAGGGACACCGGCACTTGAAAGCTCAGTCCTCAGAGGCATACATGCGCAGTAAGAAGAAGCTGCAGCTTTCGTGCAACGTGTGAACCACGCGAATGAAGAAGGGCTTTATTTTAAAAGGTGATATCATCTTCGTTTCCTCGACGCTTTGAAATATAGGCTCAAGTGATTTGATTGGCTAGAAAATGCACCGGCTCTCATGGTGGCTGGTTGCTTAGCAACGTCACTGGTGGGGAGGGGAGGGTGAGTGAGAGGGGTGCTTCGATGGGGGAGGGAGCATTGTGGGTGCAGACAGACTGACTGACTGGGGAAATACCTGGCAAAGTTCCCAAATAAACAAATAAGAGCGAAAAGGAGAAGGAGGTGGAGGGCAGAGCGCAGACAGAGTACAGGGGTATTTTCTGGTCCAGATAACAGTCCCGTAATAGTCGGCGGGAACAAGGCATTGTACTTCCAGCACAGTTTGCCCCCAGAGTAAGAGTGAGGTCAGCAAGTCAGAGCAGATTTTTTAAGAAAAGTTCAGTCTTTTGTGATATGAAAGTTGACCAGAACTTAAAATCCCGGTTTCTTTAAACAGTGTCTTTGTTTTTTTGTTTTATTATGAAGAGGAACTGAGAGGAACACAATTACTGCCATAGGAGGACATCGGCTGCTGTAGACGAGGAACAGATAAAGATGGGGCCCTGGACACATACTGAAGACGGAGAAGCACGTAGCTGCCAGATGCAACTTTGGATAAATAGCACATGTACCTGCATGTTCTCGTTTGCATGACTGTGGGTGTTGTAGGTGTTTCTAGGAACAGATCTTTGAATCCAACTGAAGTTGAGTTGAATTGAATAAAATAGCCTCAACCAAAGAGTGCAAAAAAAAAGAAGGAAAAAATGGAGTAAAAAAAGAAAAGGAGAGATGAAGAAAAAAGACCTATAAAATGGCAGCTGAGCTAAAGGAGAAGAAAAGGTGGAAAATGTGCTTATAAAGAGAGGAGGGGTAAAAAAAGAAAAAAAGGGAGGGCTGCTGCTGGTAGGTTGAGATCTGAAGAAGGAGGTGGGCTTTGGAAATGGCTGATGCAGGGCGGTCTCTACAGGCAATGAGGACTCTTTGTCAGGAGCAGGAAATGAGGTTTCTGTTGTGATTAAAAGGAAGGTTTCTATGGCAATGCAGAGAGCCGTGTGCACAGAGAATTTCTTGGCAGCGGAGGGGGCTAAGTGAGAGTCGAATGTCAAAGAAAGCAGCCTTCCTCCATCTCATCTCCCACCACCCCTCTGCTTTGCCACAGCACCACTTTTTATCTCTCATAATCTGTTTTCATAGACACAGTTAAGACTGCACCAGGGGGATTATCTTGAGCAAACCGAGCCACTGGTTGATCAGTCATTTATGTTTACGGAGTAGCAGTTTCACTTCACCAAATCGCTACTGTCAAATTAAATAAGGAAAGAAAGGTTTAGCTGAGAGGCTAATTAAAGCAAACAAAGAAAACAAACCCCACAAAACTGAAGATGATTAGCATAATGACCTGATTGTGTCTTTTCTTGTTTGTCCAGACAGGTACAGTTTTCTCCACTTACCCCCCTTTGCCTTGTTCATCCCACGAAGTAAAAAAAAAAAAAAGCACAGTGGCATCAGTGTGACCTTTAAAATCTAAATATAGTAAAAATCTTTGTTTATTGTTTCACTGAGTTCAAATATATTTCTTTAAATAAATCCCACATCCTGATTTTCTATTTTCTCCGCTGGAGGAAGTTGCTCTCTGCAGTACGTGCCATATTTGCCCCGAACACAGATTTGATACAGGATGTTTGGATAAGGAGACATTTCAAACTGGGGATCAAAGAGAATTTTTTAAATGCTGTTGATATTACCGACTCACGTGAAAATAATATGTTAATGTACCCGGTCTCCCTTCACTTCCAAACAGACCGAGTGGAAAAAGGGACTGATGTTAAATGGTTGATATGTGCGACAACAGAAAAAAAAGCTAAAGGGGAAGTCAGAGCTCAGAGTTTATTTGATGCTCTTCTGACTAATGATATCTATCTAATTTGCACCCCCCCCCTTCCCCTGGTTAACAAAAACATCCAGTTACCTGCATATTCTTCTCAATGATCATCATTTGTAAAATAAACAAAATAATATCTGAAAATAAACATTGTTATTCTGTTCAAAAGAATGTATTTAAAATCCCAAAGTACATAGAGCCTTAAAAGGTCCTAAAAAAATCACCTTTTTTATTCTCAGCATGTCAATTAGAATTACAAAAGGTTCTGCTGCCCCCAACCTTTTTGTCTGAGCATGGCAGCAAGTATCATGTAATAAAGCGCTGCCAGGGAGGGAGGGCTGTGCTGGAACTGGATTGTATAGTCAAAGCCAGATGGCAAGTAACACATCAAAAGGACAGCTGGTTACTAGAGACTTTATAGCTCCTAAGCTAATTAGTCCCGCCTAAGCAAATCAGAGCTACGTACAATACAGCAGACCATGCCAATGATTCATCATAAAAGATGACAAACATACAACATAATTAGGCTTTGAAATGTTACATGTGGTAGCTGGTTCCATCAGCTATCACGGCCTTCGCTGATCTGTACAGTAAATGACAATGATCCTGTTTTTAAAATGTGCATCTTTACTGGACTGGTGGGGTCAGTGTTTCAGATTACTGCCTCTTCCGGTGGGTGTGATCTGACTCTGAACTGCAGACTGATCTTTGATGGTCTTGTTGCTGTCTGTCGTGTAGAACTCTTTCTCCAGAACCTGGAAATCAAAAAATCCCCCCCCAAAAAACCCCCAGATGAGCTTCAAAAACTGACCAGTGCATATATCCCAAATTATCATGTTGGGGTACATCTGGGACTTATTACTGCACTCACTCCCTTCATTATCCTTTGGCGAAGTTCCCCTTGTGAGAGTGGCCGTTCTTCTTCATCAGTAACAGGAGACTCTTCTGCATTATACGCCACGCTAATGGATCTAAGTTAGATGCACACATTCATCAACCCAATGCGTTGCATTGATTTATTTGCAAATACACAGTTCTGACCCAAGGACTACAGCAAAAGTAAAAGGAAAGATTTACAAGACAGCAGAGAGACCTGCTTTGATGTATGGTTTGGAGATGGTTGCACTGATAAAAAGATAGGAGGCGCAAGAGCCGAAGATGTCAAGGTCTTCAATGGGAGTGACCTGGATGGACATGAAGAAATAGGGAAAATAGGGACTGTCCCTTATTAGGGACAATAAGGGACAGCTCAGGATGAGCGGTTTGGAGACAGAGTTAAAGAGGCATGGCTTGGATCAGGGGTCTCAAACTCCAGTCCTTGAGTTCCAGTGTCCTGAAACTTTTCCATGTGTCCCTGTTGCAACACACCTGAATAAAATTACTAGGTCATTAGCAAGATCATAGAATTTGACTGCATGCTGAAGTGGCAATCCCTAACCCTACTGAAGTAAATTTAAGTAAATGTAAATGTTTGGAAAAATCTATACTTCTAAAAGTACTTTTATTGCACCATGTTCATTCATTCATGAGCTGCTGTAACATGAATCAAATGGCTGAATTGCCACCTCAGTGTGCAGTCAAGTGCTATAGTCTTGCTAATGACCTACTAATTATATTCAGGTGTGTTGCAACAGGGTAACATAGAAAAGTTTCAGGACACCAGCCAGTTTGAGACCCCTGGCTTAGGTGGTTTGAGCATGTGCAGAGGAGGGATAGTGAATAAACTGGAAAAAGGGTACTAAACATGGATCTGCCAGGGAGGAGGAAGACCACAGAGAGGATTTGTGGATGTTGAGATGGGTTGGTGTGCCCAAGGAGGATGCTAGGGATAGAGTGAGAAGGAAGCAGTTGATCTGCTTCTCCTAAATGGAGAAGCTGAAAGAGAGGAGGAGGAAGAAGGAGAAATACACAGTTTTCAAAATGAACAGATAAACAGCTGACCTGTTGACTGCAGGTTGGATGCTGATATTCTGCTGAAGTAGTTTTGGATTCTGACCCAAAGGGAAGCCTGCTGGGTCTTCTAGATCCTGTAAGAGTTTTAAATGCAGAATCTTTGTATCACAGGAAAGAAAACAATATATACATATGTTAAAAGGCCAGCCTGATTACTTTAGTACTGAGGAAAGCCTGCACAGTGAGCAGTTCGTTGGTCTTCTGCTCCACTAAGCTGAGGTAGGACATTATGTTGTTCTCAGTGATCCCACTGGAGGAGCCCAGCATATCTTCTATCGCTGAGCGGTCACACTCTACTTTAGTGAAGATGTTGTTTACACCTGCGATAAGGAAGAGAAACCATGAACTGTTAAACTTGTTTTTTTTAATAAATATCCAGGTGACAGCAGTAGCATGTTTTAGCTTTTTGTTTTTGCTTGTGATTGCTTGAGAGCTTTGATAATTTTCATGATTATTGGGACCTTCACTGCAAAAAAAGCCTTAAGGATGTATGGAGTTATGAGAAATTACTAGTTGTAATGATAACAAAATATGCAAAATAAATCAACCTGTTTTAGTCTTGTCCAGAATCTCGCTTATGATGCTGGCTCGGTTCTCGTTGGCCTTTCTTTGAGATAAAACTCCCTCTAGTTGCTTATCAATATCTTGCAACAAAGATTGGTGCTGTCGTTCCTGCTGTAAACCTTTAACCCGAAACTGCTCCATGTCTTGTTTGATCTGCCGAGAGGCAAATTCCAGCACAAACAGACATATATACAGTGCACGTTAAAAACATAAATGAACAAACCTCCCCACCCAGCACACCCTGACACTTCCTAAACTTAATCATTAGCTTTGATCTAATTTCCTAATATTTCTTTGTCTTTCAGAGTTTTTTGTTGTTGTTGTTGTTATTTTTGGCTTATTTGTAAATTGTATAACAAAAGTGTGTGCACACTGCATAACTGCACTGGGAAACAATATGTCATTTTTGTGATTTAAAGGGGGAAAAACACACTTACCTTGCTAATTTCTTCCTTCAGTGCCTCAGCCTCATTGGTTTGCTCATTAACAAAATTGAAAAGTGCAAAGTTCCGGTCTTCAACTGAAGAGCAAAACAGCAACACAGCAGCTAGACACCAAGTCCAATTATCCCTGTTTTCCAAGTGGGATCTTACATATATTGAATTTTACTGTATGTAGACAATGTAAGCTAAAGTAAAAACAAAAAACACAGAGATAAAAAGCTGGTTTGTTAGACTTACCCTGAATGTACCTGGTGACCAGCTGGTCCAGGTTCTCCTCCCCTGTAGCAATCCGAATCCTTTCAAACGCCTCCTCTAGAGCATCCAGTGACTCTTCTCCAGAGTCCATCCTGGACTGCTCTTTCAGCTCCAAAGCTATGAAACACAAAGCCCATCCCCCACCTTGTCAGTCTGGACCAAACTTGTTCCAAATGTCCCCAAGAAATTTACACACAGTCTTCTTTTCCTTTTGAACAGTTAAGTCACTAACCAGAAATGCAACAGCGATCCTTTTGAGATCTATATTAAAGCAGCCAGGGACACACTGGCAAGACTGACTGTGCCTTCCCATTTTTACTGGTTTCTAAGCCAACAGCAAACTTGTTTTACTGAATTTTCTGCTTTGTTGTTGCACTTTTAAATATGTTATTCTATATTAACATTTAACAATTTGTTAATAGTTTTGCTGCAGGAAAAATTTAATTTTGGGGACCAAAAGAAACACTGAAAAGGATTTGCCAATTTACAGGTCATAGCCATGGAGATGGAGAAGACCACATAAACATACACCTTTTGGACAAAAGCAATAGGCCACACTGATTCATCTTTGAATTTAGGTGTTCTATATAAAATATACCTGTGGAAATTACTGTATAAAAGTCATTAATCCCCAGTAATGCTCAGGAAGCTTCAACCCTTCTCTTAACATCAGCACAAAAACTGTGCACCGGGAGTTTCATGGCATGGGTTTCCATTGCTAAGCAGCTCCTATAGATGTAATGTGTAGGTGTCCCAGTACTTAAGCCTGTATAGTGTACTTTATCATTTGAAACATTCTTAATATTCATATTTAAGTACCATCTGTAATGTTGCTAGAGCACAGTTTCCAACTTATTAGTTAAAAAAAGGCAGCTTAAATGTATATCTCGGTTGGCTTCTCATGTTTTTTTTTTGGTGTGTTTATGGTTCAAGCCAATTCCTGTGTTGTTTTGTAATTTCTGGTCACTTCTGGTTACATTCCTGTGAGTTTATTTCCCCTCTACTCTTCTGTTTCCCAGATTACTTCAGTACAAACTACCATAAAGCTTTCTTGTATCCTTTGTGAGAATGACACTGTGTTACGCTTACATTTTAGCTACATGTAGACTGGGTTACATACAGCACTGTACTGTACATTACTAATCTTTGTCTGAAAACTTGTTAAGCATAAGTGTAAAGTGGTCTAGTTCTATTATTATCATCAACTCTGTCACAAAATACATAACATGTATTATTGATAGTTCTTTAACTTACAATAATAAGAACCTTGAGGCAACTGCTATTGTGGTTTGGCAATATATAAATAAAACTGAATTTCATTGAATAACTTGATTAATATCATTAATATAAACAGACATAGCAGCTACAACACGCTGGTTGCCTCTTACATTGTCCAGGTCCCATTTCATGCTCGTCGTCCTGCCTGCCTGCATCACTGCACTTGACGATCATGAACGTTTTCAGGGTGGACTCATGCGCAATAACCCTCTCCAGCTCCTTCAACTCAGTGCTGTACTGGTCACGGTCCTTCAGTGCCTTCTCTTTTATCATTGTCGCCTTGGAGTGAGCCTCCACCCTAAGGTGCAGATAACAATTAGTGTTTGAACTGAATAACATGCGGACATTTTTTTGCCCTTAATAGAAACTGAATCTCAAATCTCACCTTGTGTCATAAGCAGCAGAGGACTGGTTGATTACTTCTCCAATTTTCTTGCGTACTTCCTGCAGTTCCTATAACACAAATGTTCATGTGGAGACATGTTTTCAGTTTGCATGTTTCCAAGTAAATAAATGCCAAATAACAAAAATATTTGCCTCCAGATCATATTAAATGTGATGTGACCTCTGACCTTGCTTAGCCTGTTGTGTAGTTGCTGAAAACGAACACGCTCAATATAAAGAGTATGCAGCTCCTCTCTCACTTGGCTGTTTTTGGTCAACTGCTCATTTAAGCGAGTCAAGGCCTTGACAAAGAACACATGAATTTCATGATATTTAACATTTAGTTCATTTTTCTGGGTATTTGGCTGTAGCGTGCTTCGTGACTCACTCTGTTCAGTTTGTATTCCATAGTGCGTATGGACTTTTGGATTCGCTGTTCTGGGGAACTTTGAGCGTTACTATTACTAACAGCTCCATTTCTCAACTCTGCTAGCTTCGACTCCATGCTGGAGATCTAAAAACAGCACATAAAAATCGTGGTAAGCATGAAACAATACGAGGAAGTATCAAATAATATGAAAGCTCATAATTAACCTCCTTCTTCAGCTCTTGCTGGCATTTTTTGCCTTTCTGCAGCTCCTCTTCCAGCATTTCTCTCTGCTCAAGCAGGACCTGAATAGTCTGGATGTCCTTGTTTTCCTGCTGTTGACGGGCCAAGCTGTTACAGGCACCGAGGTTTCGTTGCAGTTCCTCCTGCTCCTTCTGCAGCACCTCTATCTCCTGCCTTTATCCACATGACACAAGAGACTGAAGAGAAAAAAAATACACAGACTCCTAACTACGTTGTATAGGTGTAGCTTTTACTCACTGTTGTTTGCGGATCTGTTTCCGGGTCTGCATGTTGTAGGCCTGCAGATCTCCTTCCATGATCCTGAACTGTCTCTGCAATTTGGCGATCTCTTCTACTTAAGAACAATATCATGTGCACATGATGTTACAGCTGTTTCAATCAAAATAAGAACAGTTAATAATACCAACACAGAAAACCTTACCTGCTCCATCAACATCAACCTCACTGTTATCTGAGCGTGCGCTTGCGGCTGATCTTCCTCGAGGCATGGCTACAATGAACATGAACATCCCTGACTAATTATTTGAGGAAAAAGCATTACATTTA